AGGAACTAATACACTTGCCCGAAGTCTTTCCTATGCAATGTGCACAATGCAGGTACTTGAACTTTTTTTTGTCATTTTCAACCCCAAACTTGCTATTGCCAAACAACTTATCTCAATGATTACAAGCACCATATCTCAGTATTCATTAAGCTCAGACGGTTTCTTTGTGCATTGCATTAGTTAGTATGAGCTGACCAATTCAGCAGCCCAAATTTCCCATAGAGAAACTACTGGTCTCAAATGCTTCGAAGCATAATCTATCATAATCCATTATTATATCCACTATAAAGCAGGATTATAAAGTAGGATCTAGACCTAACCTAAGCAATCCCCGCTTACGCGGAGGCCCCCCGAGTTACTAAAGACTGGGGAACCAAATCCCGATCTGACGTTGGGGATTACCAGATCAACAATCTCCCAAGTCTCAGGTTCCAAATGTTAGATGGAGCGGTTACCACCGAACTGTACTGCTAAGGTGTCTACTACAAATCAGTGGGTCTTGCAACAGAAGGAGCGGGGATAAGGGCAGGGTGCTTACAAGGTTGGGCTGTCGTTGGGCACGGTGGCGAGCGCCGCCTCCTTCTCCGAGGACATGGTGAGAGATCGATCGCCTCCCCGAGCACACAATTGGTCGCCGCCGGCACAGGAAGTGTTCCGTGGATAATAAACGATAAAGCCTCCGAAGAAACCCTCGCTTTCTCTGTCAAGTTACCAGTTTACCCTCTCAACTCTCAAGGTGAGGTACAGAGCTGTGCTTCGTGCCCTTTGGCATTTTCGTCCTTTTTTTGTCAAGCCATGGTTTACGGCTTTACGCTAACCTGGGGGAAAAAAGCTGCACCTAAACCGGACGCATGGAAATTCAGACCAAGATATGAATGGTTACAATGATATACTCCGTACAATGCAATCATCTATGTACATTTATAATTTGAGTTTGAACAAAAACTTATGCAAAAAGAAAAAAATCAGCATTTAAATAAGGGTGCAATACATAATATGTAATTATTTGTGTTGTTTTCTCTTCTTTTTTTTCTCTTTATTATGCAATACTTTGATTGAAATTCTTCATGTGTCATCTTAGGAACCACCGTGTTTGGTGACATAATAATAATATTAGTATACTGCTCGTATGCATCTTACTTACTAATATGTCTTTGGTTTCTTTCTTCCTTTGTTATGGAGAGTTTATTTAAAATTCATATCCGAACTTTTTCTATTCTTTATGGGTATTCTATATAGTATTTTTAAAGTAACGACTAAATAAATTAGCATGCTTTTCCTACATCGGTTGAATAAGAACGGTTTAGAATCTAGCAATACAACAACAATCATATAACTTGTCAAAAGCAACAATTATATAAAATCTCAAGGAAAATTTACAGAGCAAACACCCAAAAAATAGAAGATGTAATTTGACCTTGACAAAGTACTACCGAAGATTAGAGGGCAGTTCGCTGGTCTGGTTTGACCAACCAAATGTAATCCCCCTCTCGATCTTGTTCATCAATTTTTTCATAGTGAATTCAAAGGAATAGTGTTTTGTTAAGTTTCGCACAATGAACGGGGCTAGAAGATGTAATTTTCCTCATCTCGTTCAATTTTTCATAGTGAGCGTTGTTAAGCGGCGCCAATAGTAAATTAGGTGTCGCCAATGGTCATCCATCATCGCCTCATTTGCAGCTAAGCAATTTGGAGTTAGGAGTTTTGTTATTCTGAGTCATAAGGATCTTTGAATATGTGGTCAATTATGCCTTTTCGCATGGATTTGCAAAGGGTCAATGGAAAATGAAAGCTGCCATGAAGTTGGCCAACAAGTCATGCCTACCGGGATTAGTTGTCCCTCCATGCATTTCTTGTCTTGCATGTCAATAGTAAGAATTTAGGAGCCAGATAAAGAATGTTGATGTTAGGTTTTGTAAACTATCTGTGTACAAGGTTATCACAGACCTATGAGAGTTTTTTAATCATACTCTACTAAGGCTCCGCGAAGAAACAACTTCCTACTGGTGCATAATAAAAATAAGATTCTCTAAAAACTAATTAGAGATATTTTAAGAGAATAAACCTTTTTAAAAGTTTGTTTTGTTTAATAGGATCGAAGCGGATTGAAGGAGGTTAAGCCCCCCTACAAATTAATTCCTCTCGGTATCCCTTGATGCTCTCTAATCCATTGTTGGATATGGGATTAATCAAACAAGGTCTAAATGGGATCTTACAACAATGATGTCTACAGCTATACAAGTACAATTCATATGCTTAAGCATCTGACACCATTGCCAATGTCATGGTGATGTCTTTTCTGAGCATTCGAACACGTGTCTACGGTAGTAGCTGCTAATGAAAACAATATTGGCCCTGGTCCAACGGAACGGCAGGGTCGCGTTGAAGTGGAGTTCTTTTTATTCTCCGTGTCGATGAGTCGACACCCACCGCGCCGACGTGCCATGTGCATGGGCGGATCTACATAGAGAATTGTGGTTGTGTCCGTATCCATAGATAATTTTTCACCATATTTAAGCATCCATAGATAAAAAGTTTAAGCATCCACAAGGCAAGCACACATCTCGAATTAGCTCTAGCTCCGCCTCTGGCCATATGCATATACGCCTCTTTCCACACCCTATTAATGCAGGCCTCTCTTGTATCCTCTCCCAATTTCCAAGAGTTCAGCGTAGAACTAGAGCCTCCTCGTTCGGACTCCGTCTTCATCCTTGGTGTGCTGCTGCTGGACGCTTGAAACTGCTGGCCTAAGGTACGAACCCGATCAACAACCCTTCGCTATATTTCTTCCAGTGCCATGAGAAAGAAATTGGGAGCAGCAGAGCTCGTTTGCTATCTCCCCTGTTCTTTGATATCTATGGATCAGCCAATTTTGCTACCATCGTCTTGCCAGCAATAGAAAATCAGGTTTGGTCTGAGGAACTGAGCTAGTTCATTATCTCATCACTCTTTATTCCTCGTAAACTAATAATTAGAACTAATATAACGAGTAGGATCATTTCATCAACTTTGAAAAATCGGTTCATAATGCACCACCTTTTAGAATAAATGGATTTCTCAAACCGCAATTCCTACGTGTCATTAGCAGTTGTGAAGTAGCCCTCGTCTCGCTTCGATTTGATGCACGAGCAGCGATTGCGTGCAACACGCGCTGCCTACACGTGATTTCGGCTGAAACTGTTTTGCTCGCGCGCTGTGAATTTCCATGGACAGGGTGCGGCGAGATTGAGATGGACGGCGGCGACGGCAGCCCGGTGACGACGGACAGCGAGCGGCGGGCGTACCGGTACGGGCACCGGGCATCGCCAAGGCTGCCGGGCATGCGCAAGTCGTGGTCCAACGACTCGCTCGCCGGCTACGGCGGGGGTGGCAGGGCCTCGTGCGTGTGCGCGCCCACCACGCACCCGGGCTCCTTCCTCTGCAAGCACCACCGCCACGCCTCCAACCTCGGTGCCGCCGCCACCGTGGCGCAGGTCGTTGATGAGCCCCCTGCGGCCGACGCAAACAGGAAGCACCACGAGCAAGTGCTCTGTTGGCTTGGCTGATAAGCCTCGGCTGAAAGTGTTGTAGGCTAATTTGTTATGAGAGAAAAATATTATTCGTTGACTGAAAAAGTATGGCTTATAAACCCAACGACCACGAGAAAGAGGGCCGTGAAGCGGCGCCCGCCGCCGATCAGGCGGACAAGTCGTCGTGAGGTGAAGTAGGTGAAGGCGACTCCTGCGCCCTCCGGTGCGTTGCACGTTCGGCGTCGCGCGCTTGCACGGCGATCCCGTGCGCTGACATCTTCCTCCGTCATTTCCAGAGTTGATGCGAGGGTCTTTTTGTTGTACGAGTACTTTCCACCCTTCTTGTGTGTTGCACAAAATAATGAAGTGCTGATTAGCACGGCAAAATACGTGTAAAATATGTAAAACAGACCTTTTCCTCGCTATTTTTCAAATGAAACGTTTGGTGAGATCCTTTTGGCCAGGCACCTGATCGTCCTAAAAATATTCTGTAAGAGCTGTAGATGTAATACTCATAAATTTAGTGGACTGGTTACATTTTCGCTTGCAGACATTTCAAAAGAGAATGAACCATTTTCTTTTGATCTATCATCTTTTAAATTTTATTTTTGTTTCCTTGAGTTGTACTCCCACCCTTCTAAACTGTAAGTCATTTTGTTTTTCTATGTATACATCATTTGCTACGCACTTAATAAAGATACATTATGTCTGGATACATAATAAAAGTTATATATTTAGAACAGCTAGAACGACTTGCAATCTAAAATGGAGAGAGTATATATTATTATCTAACATGTGAATAGGAGTTCATTGCTTCAATAAGAAACATCTTTGGGACCTAGTTTCCTTGAAGTGATTTTTTCCTACACTAGAGGAGTTTTTGTCCGGATAATCTTTTCGACTGCAATAAACAAACGAAATGCAGTCTCTCTCTCCATAGGTTTGCACTGGATTCTTTTTTATACCTAGTGGAGTTGCAATCCAAATGTAATTCTTTTACTGAGAAAATTCCTATCTGCACTATTCTATATTTTAGAATCTCTCCATGCTTATCTATTTCTTAGATAATTCCTATCATGTGAAATTTCTAGATCTAGAGTGGCATACTTTAGCTTGAAGAATAATAACTATGTGTCATGCTCATGCATACTCGCCATTTATTTGGAAGCTCCTCAGTGAAAGGTAACTATTGCTTATGTGATTGGAAGGCAAGCTGCTCAGACTACTAACATTTTTTTCTATGGTGAGAACATTTCTTTTCTCTTCATAAAATATTGTTTCTTCTGCTAGAACATTTAGTTGTTTCCAATTAAAAAAATATCCTATCTCAAAGAGGTAAGTAAAAAATGTTCTACCTATTAATTAGAAAAAAAAATGTTTGTTCCATAATAAGTTACATCTAACCTGACTTTTTAACATGACATCAAAGTGTCGATACTCTTTATCGGTCCTTGTTGGAGCACCTAGGACATTTTCTAGTGAGTTCATATCATTCTTTTTTTTTTTGTTATTAAGAAGACCGATGTCACTGATTCATGCGAACCATTGGTTTATGTTCAACATAAAAATATTTCATGTTCATTTGAAACAAAGATAAAATTGTCTTTAGTTCATTAGAAAAGTGCTATAGTTTTTTGAGAAAATTTTCCAGGTTTATAAAATTATCCTAGGTTAAAGTGAAAAGGGCTTATAGCTTCAACAGAAAAAGTATAAAAAATAGGGGTGAAAAAAAGAGAAAAAGAATGAAAGAAGAAAAAAGGAATTAAAAAATACGTGAAAAAGGGCCCAGCACGGGTGAGCTCCCCTGGGCCGAACAACGCCGGACTGGGCTGCCGCCGCACGCCCCGCATCCGTTCACGGTTCAACTTCGTCCCGCGTGCACTCTGTTTCTCTTCTCTCTCTCTGCGACGAGCAGACGACTGGGTGGGCTACCGTCTCCGCCGCCGCCGCCGCCTACGCCAGGTGTCGAGGCCTTCGTCGGCCTCTTCTCCGGCGGCGAGCACCCACCAGGTATTCCCACCCCTTGTCTTCCCTTCCTGCTGTGCGAAACCGAGCACCCAAACCCTAACTCTATTTGGCTATTTGATGCCTGCTAACTTCGAGCCCTTTGCAAAAATTGTCGGCTGTACTGTGTACATATGTACATCCATTGTCGTCCGCCCCTGCTTTTCAGTCTATGATGATGGATTGATGGCTGTTTTCCTGTACCCGAGATTTTCGCTATGCAGCAGAGTGTTAGCCATCCTGTTCTTAGAACATGAGAAGATTCTTCCCATTCTGCTCGTTCACAAGCAGTGCCGACAATGGCACGGGCAAATGATTCCATGAATGAGAACAAAGTTGACGAAGCAGGCACCAGTGGCGCTCATCGATCTCCTGGTGCACGGTCATTCAGATCTAGAAGCCGGCATGGTGCATCAAGGAATGAGGAATCATCCCATCCACAGCTCAGGAGGTCCTTTTCGTTGACATCATCAGCCATGGATCATTCTTTGGATGAACAGTTGATGAGTTACTCACGTGATATTCCATGTTCTAAGTCCAATGATTCAGACGCGCCTGGTCATTTCGGCAAAGTGGAGTAAGTGGTTAGACTACAGATTTTACCTATCACTAGCAGTTCGAATGGTTAGAACTTCATGAATACTACTAGCAACGTCACTTAGTCACTCCCTTGGTAAAACAATACTCCCTCCGTACTTAAAAAAAAAATAAAGTTGTTTTAGGATGCGGGAGTGCTTTCACAATTAAAGTTTTAGGAGGTGGAAGTCACTTAGTCACCATATTTAATCACTTCATGGTATGCAAAATCATATTCAAAAACGACTTCATTTTTTTTTTAGTACCGAGGGAGTTATAATTATGATGAGAAAACACCATCGATTACTTTTCTAGAGTTACATTTTACAGTCGGACATTCATAATAGTCTGCTACGATATCATCGAATTTGGCCACACGCATGAATCACATTGTAGCAGAACTATTGTTTTTGTGCATACTCGTATTCATTATGTACGTCTACAAATATTCACCTCGTTCGGCTGGTCCGCGCTACAGTGAAAACGGATGGTTTTGGATGAATAAATAGTATTATGTGAGAAAGAATAAGCTGGAACAAGCTGGAACATGACTAGCCGAACGGGGTTATTGCTAATGTGAGTTACTAAGAGACTTACTCTTCATGAGAATTTAATTTATTCACTTTTTAGTTCATAATTAGCTCTACATCTTATTTTCTTTTCTTTGTTGCGGACATAATCTGCATTAACATTCAGCTTGTTATAACAACATAGCCTTTCAGTCCCAAGCAAATTAGGGTAGCTTTCAAATATCTTTTTATTGTCTCTCCCCATGTCAATTTCGGTCTTCCTCTACCTCTCCTCATATTATTAGCTTGGCTTGGGACTCCACAATGCATTGGTGCCTCTGGAGGTCTTCTTTGGATATGGCCAAACCACCTCAACCGATGTTGGACAAACTTTTCTTCAATTGATACTACCTCTAGGCGATCATGTATATCATCGTTCCGAACTCGGTCCATTCTCGTATAACCACAAATCCATCGCAACATACGTATTTCTGCAACACTCAGTTGTTGAACATGTCGAATCTTTGTAGATCAATATTCTGCTCCATACAATATAGCCGGTCTAATCGCCGTTCTATAAAACTTGTCTTTTAGCTTTTATGGTACCCTCTTGTCACAGAGAATGCTAGAAGCTTGTCGCTACTTGATCCACCCTACTTTGATTCTATGGCTAACGTTCGCATCAATATCTTCATCCCTTTGTAGCATCGATCCCAGATACCGAAAGGTATCCTTCTTAGACACTACTTGACCTTCCAAACTCACATCTCCCTCATCCTGTGCAGCTCCGCCAAAATCGTATCTTATGTATTCGGTTTTAGTTCTGCTCAATCTAAAACCTTTAGACTCAAGGGTCTGCCGTCATAACTCTAGTTTCATATTTACTCCCGTCTGGCTTTCGTCCACTAACACTACATCATCAGCGAACAACATACACCAAGGGATATCCCCTTGTATGTTTCTGGTAACCTCATCCATTACCAAGGCAAAGAGATACGGGCTTAAGGCTGACCCTTGATGAAGTCCAATTTTAATCGGGAAGTAATCTGTGTTACCATCGTTTGTTCGAACACTAGTCACAACATTGTTGTACATGTCCTTGATGAGGGTCACATGCTTTGATGGGACTTTATGTTTGTCCAAAGACCACCACATAACATTTCTTGGTATCTTGTCATAAGCCTTCTCCAAGTCAATGAAAACCAAATGGAGGTCCTTTTTCTGCTCTCTAAACCGCTCCATAACCTGTCTTATTAAGAAGATTGCTTCTGTGGTTGATCTTCCGGGCATGAAACAAAATTGGTTTGTTGATATCTACGTCGTTCCTCGCAGGCGCTGCTCGATGATTCTCTCCCATAACTTCATAGTGTGGCTCATCAACTTAAATCTCTGATAATTAGTACAACTTTGGATATCTCTCTTGTTCTTGTAGATTGGTACCAATATGCTTATTCTTCACTCCTTAGGCATCTTGTTCGATCGAAAGATATTGTTGAACATCTTGGTTAGCCATACTATAGCTATATCCCCGAGACATCTCCACACCTTGATTGGGATACCATCAGGGTCCATCGTTTTGCCCTCTTTCATCCTTTTCAAGGCTTCTCTGACCTCCGATTCTTGAATCCTCCGCACAAAGCGCCTGTTAGTGTCATCAAACGAGTCGTCCAGCTGAACGGTGGTATTCTCGTTCTCACCATTGAACAATTTATCAAAATACTCTTGCCATCTAAATCTGATCTCATCCTTCTTCACCAAGAGCTGCTCCCTCTCATCATTTATGCACTTGACTTAGTTGAAGTCACTTGTCTTCCTATCGCGAGCCCTAGCCATCCTATAAATGTCATTATCTCCTTCCTTCGTACTCAAACGTCGGTAAAGATTCTCATAGGCCCGCCCCTTTTCCTCACTCACCGCTTGTTTTGCTGTCTTCTTTGCCACCTGGTACTTCTCTATGTTGTTTGATACAAGCGCTTATAACACTCCTTTTTTTCCTTAATAGCCTTTTGCACATCTTCATTCCACCACCAAGTGTCTTTCGAGTCGCATCCGCTCCCTTTGGTCACTCCAAGCACTTCTGAAGCAACCTTCCGAACGCATGTTGCCATCTTATCCCACATGCTGTTTGCATCGCCTTCATCATTCCAAGGGCCCTCTTTAATGATCTTCTCCTTAAAGACCTTTGATGCCTCCCCTTCTAATTTCCACCACTTCGTTCTAGCAACCCTAGCTTGTTTGTTCCCACGAGCTTGCACCAAAAAGCGTAAGTCAGCCACCACCAGCTTGTGTTGAGCGAACACACATTCTTCAGGTATCACCTTACAGTCCACGCATGTTCGTTTATCCCTACTTCTTATAAGGACAAAGTCGATTTGATTATAGTACTAGCCTCTACAAAAGGTTACTAAATGGGACTGTCTCTTACGGAAGAAAGTGTTAGCTATCATCAGATCAAAAGCTATGGCAAAGTCTAAAACTTCCTCTCCCTCCTAGTTTCTACTACCATATCCTAAACCCCCATGAACCGCCTCGAAACCTGCACTTGATGTACCTACATGGCCATTAAGATCACCTCCTATAAAGAGCTTCTCGCTACTAGGGACAACTCTAACCAAATGATCTAAATCTTTCCAGAAAAGCCGCTTAGCACTCTCTTAACCGCTGTGTCCACTAACTCTCTTAACTTACTTGTAAGGGACCTTACATTCCAACTATCGAAACAGATCCTAGTTGGCTCGACTAGCTTCCTTACCCTTCGCACCCGCCGAGGTAGGTGTGAAGACCCTTACTCATTTTGCACCACACCTGGGCGCCGATGTGGCGCGGCACTAAGGATGCGACGACCCGATCCTTGCTCACTTGACACCGTCGCGACACGGCGCGTCACGGGGGTGACAACCCGGCCCTTGCTCATTTAACACCATACCCGGGTTTCGACATGGCGCGTCGCTAAGAGGGTTACGCCCCGAACATTCAGCTTGTTATTTTAATTTAATTTATGTGTTCCATGACATTGTTGTTAGAAAATCTCCTTTGGACCCATGTAATCTGCAGTAACATTCAGGTTGTTCTTTGAAATTAGTTTACACAGAGTACATGGATGATATTCTTTTTATCATGCCTGAAAATATTACTAACAAAGGTTATCCGCAGGAGCTACACATGTTCACCAGGAAGACACCACAGTAGAAGAAAATACATGGTAAAGGTCTCAAATTCACATGGATTCCAGGAAACTGACTCATCCCATTCAAGATGCCACTCTTGCTCAACAGGACACTCTCCTGTTAGTTCTCCTGTTGCATTAAAATGCAGGCCTGCTAAGTTGACCAATTTCGTGAATAAGAATGAGGTACTGGACCTGTATATTGATGGTGAGCAAGAAGTTGCCAGACTAAATGAGAAGCAGAACCAGAAATTCCCCGTCAGATGTACAGCTCCTTATTTGGGACAGGAATGGCCACCACAGCCACCTTCCACAGCACCATCTTCACCAAAAGTGTGCAAAGAGATCATTGAGAACCCCTCTAACACTGATACCGATGACATCTGGCATTCCTATCTTGCTTATGAGGGAACAAAGGGTGCCTTCAAGGTTGCATCCGTGTGTCATGAAGGTGGACATGATGCAAGATGTCTTGAAGCATCTTCTGAGTATCTTTCATATTTTGAAGAGTGCAGATCACAGAGTATGACTACTGTGGATGACATCTATGAGGACTTGCAAGATGTACGACTTCCATCTCCATTCTTCTACAGCACTTCAACGGATCCTATTTCCAGTGCTACCTCAAGATACTTCACTGCAGACATTCATTGTCATGATCAGTGTCATGGTGTTCATGATTTCAACTTGGAACAGGACACTGATGAAAAGTTGCTTCAAAGAGCTAAAGAAATTGATGCATGCCTTATGGTTCCCCTTGTAGAAAACAGTAAGCTTAATGCGCTAAGGGATAAGAGGTCAAATTCAACTAAAATCTGGCAATTCATTGAGGGTCTGATTGAAGATAGAAAAAAATTGGTAGCTGAAGTATCTTCACAGATTAAGGCACGTCTTACAGAAAGATTTGCAGCCAAAGAACAATATAAGAGATCCAAGTTAGAATTAGAAACCAGAACTAGAAGGCTGGAGAAGGAGAAGATCGATCTACAAAGTAACTTGGAAAGGGAATTGGATAGAACGTCAAATGATTGTTCAGTCAAACTGGAGAGATTTCAATCTGAAGAACAAAGACTACAGGAAAGGGTAAGAGAGCTTGCAGAGCAGAATGTGTCATTTCAGAGAGAAATTACTTTGCTTGAATCATACAAAGTTGATACCACTAGTAGGATTAAAAGTCTAGAGCTACAAAACAAGCATCTGAACAATGAGTTGCAGGGAGTAAAAGATGACCGTGACAATCTTCATAGCTCCTCAGTAGAATTGCAAGATAACCTTAATATAGCTATAGAGGAAAGGGACATGATCCAAGAATCTTTGAAAGACAAAGAGGAGGACAAAAAGGTGTTACACAAAATAATTGCAAGATTACAAAGGACGTCTAATGAATAGGAGAACACAATTACTAGCCTAAGAAAAGGATTTGGCGCTGAAATAGAAAAGAGAGATGGTGGAAATAGTGATATAATAAACAGGATGCAGATGGAACTTCTCAGACTTACTGGAGTTGAGCAAAATCTGAGAAAAGAAATTCAATCCTGTACCATTGAGATGGAGTCTCTTAGGCAAGAGAATTTAGCGATTTTCAATCGTCTACAAAGGAGTGAGGATGGAGCGAATTTTTCCACAGTTCGTCTTGACCAGGAGCTTCAGGCTAGAGTGGAGAGTTTGCAGACACAAGGTTTATCATTACTTGACGATTCTAGCCAACTTTGTGGCAAGTTGTTGGAATTGATCAAATCAAAGAAGAGTGAGAACAGCAGTGATGTCGATGCATTAGTAGCCATCGAGTACACTCTAAAGTACCAAAGTATGATAGGAGGAATTGAGAATGTAAAACAGAGTCTGCGTATGATCAAATCTCTGTTGACTGAGAAGCAAAACGAAGAAGAGATTGAACAGAGTGCTGAAAGTTATCTTTCAGGACAAGAGAAGTTATCCAGGGTATGACCTATCTTTTGGTTTCTTATTTTTAGGAATAACTTAACTCTTTAAATGTTGTTAGTAGTATTATGAGTTCCATTTTTATAACATGACAGACAAGTTCTTATAACTCATTGTAAAATAATTCTAGTGTAGTATCTGTTTTGTAGAATATGAAAATACATTTTCTTAGCATAGAGGTTGCTGGAATAATATAGTAGCTTAGGTAATTCAAGCCAAAAGCCAGCATCAGAAGCTAAACCAATCCACATTTTTTGTATTTTTCTTTTGTGCAGGATGACATTGAAATTAAGCTGAGAGAAGAAGCTATGATCAGTAGGGTTCTAAAGGAGAAACTTCTGTCCAAGGAATTAGACATTGAACAATTGCAGTCAGATCTAGCAGCTTCAGTCAGGGTCCAAGAGGTACTGCAAAGCGAGATCCACAGAGTTCAAGATGAACTGCGTTGCCTCACACACAAGTACAAGCATTTGGAAGTTCAGGTGACCTGAAAACCCCGATTTCTAAAAAGCTATTCTTCATATTTTCCCTTGTCAAGTTGATTTTAGTTTGTCTTACTTCCTAAAATCTGTTGTTTCTATCTTGATGCATTATCCTTCTAAAGGTGAATCATTAGATGTTGCCAGCTATATTTTTCTACTTGTTTCTGATGATATTACACCTGCACATGACTCCATTGTCATCTTTGGTTTCAACTTTGCAATTTGCAGGGTTTGAAGAAAGACGAGATAATTAACCAGGTTGAGCAGGATTACTAGGAATCTGCAAAGGAACTGACCGCCCTTCGTTGCACGCTCAAAACAGTAAGCGATGAAAGGGATGTCTCATTGCAGGAATCTAAGCAGATGAGAAGAACTGTTAGTGGCTTGCAAAATGAAGTTGCTTCGTTAAAGCAGAAGATTAGAGCACTTGATGAAGATTTACAGTTTAAGGAGAGTGAGATACTGCTTCGAGAGGGTGAGATTTCAATATTGCGTGACGGTAGTGACAAGCCATTTGACATCATCTGCAGCCCTCGATCGATGAGGCAGTTCGGCATGGAGTAAATCTGCATATAACAAATAGCAGAACTCGGCCTCATCATGGAGTAAATCTGCATATAACAAATAGCTGAACTCGATTCTGAAATAGACGATGTTTTCCCCTTTGTGAACAACAATAGTAGGGCTCTACAGAGCAACTCCAAGAGACTTTATATCCTTTCTAATTGATAGGAATCAAGATTTTAATAAAAATACTCTCCATCAGTCTATTGGATTGGATATCTAAATATGAAAAACAGGATTCTTTCTACTGTATGCACAAGATATAGAAAAGTTGGTGTAAGATACAAAGATATAGAAAATGACTTTTTACCCAAAAGGCTTTTGACAAAATTACAGAGCGCGTGAATTTCGCTAGCGACGTGCACTTCCTATTTCTAGCTATCAGTCCCAGGAAAGTTCCACCCGTATCCCGGCACCTGCGCTAAGCCATCTGCCTTCGTGGCCCCTCCCGACAACCGATATCCGAAACATGACTTTTCCGCCCTGTCACCCGCAACGCGTCGATTGGTTAGGGTTTGGGGTTTCGGCAGCTCGCCAAATCCCGCCGCCGCTGCTCGCTCGGTCGCTTGAGTCCAGTCACGCTCGTGGTCAGGGCGTCAAGCAGCCTACGACGACGCTCTCCTCTCCACTCGAATGCGACGCCGCACTTCCTATTTCGGCCCCTCCTGTGCGCTCCGTCACTCCGCTCCTGGCCTCCGTTTCAGATGCCATCTAAATTTGCCCCTAGGGCCTATTTTTTACTGCTCTTGGCGCCGCATCACATCATCGATTTTATGCCAACTGACCAATTCTATCCCTTCGATTCAGGTACCTAGACAACTCGTTAAATCCTATTGCTCGTAGTCACCACCACTGATGGGTACTAACTAGCTTCTTCTATGTGTGTAGAAATTACAGCTTTACTGGGGCTGTAGATCTGCGGGTGGATAGAACATCCTTTTCTGCATGTGGATTGTCTAATTACTTCATCAAACATCCTTAATGTAAAAATGTGTTCTTTTATTCTGCTGGTTTCATGCATAAAGAAATTACAGCTTGTACTGGGGTTGTATTTTTTGGATAGAACATCCTTTTCTGCAGGTATGAATTGTCTAATTACTTCATCAAACATCCTTAATGTAGAAATGTGTTCTTTTATTCTGCTGGTTTCATGCATAACTGCCGCTAAAATTACAGATTGCATATTCTCGGCACCTGCGCTACTTTTTAGTTGATCCTTCCAATTTCTCTTGTTCTATAAACAAGCTTCATCTGAATTATTTCTCTCAACCGCCGGTGCAAAAGTTTTATATGTACTCCCTCCTTGATGTTATAGGATTCACGAAATATCTGCATGATTTAGCTCGTCCGCAGTTTGAGATTGCGTCTGCACCTCTATACATTCAAGTGGGCTGGATAGAAGTTGTTGCTAAAGTCGTCGGCGTCGGTTTAATCTAGGATATTTTAGAATCGTCTCCATGGCTACTTGGGGTTGTTGGCAACTCTTTCTGCACCATTTATTTATCCATGATTTCGCCTTCTTGCTCAGCATCTCTTTGTAGTATATGAACACAGAACTTTGGGTTTTAACAGTAGCTAGATCACGCTTTTTCGTGGTCAATGGGCGTCAAGGGCATCTGAGTCCTAGACGACGTGTCTCCTATATGTATAACCTGCTTTGTCTTACTTTTCATGTCAAAATATTCCTCAATCCTCAGCAAGTATTTTTGGCACCCTTACCATTAACTACAACAATAACCTGATTTCTACCATGTCTCACAATTCACAATACTAAAAGTTTAACGGCTGTATGAAGTTTTCATCAACTGAAGAAATTATTTTGCCTCTCATGCTCCTGTTGTTCCGTATAGTCCTTGGTAATCAGAAATATAGACTCTGTCAATAATATCACAGTTGCTTTAATATACCTTATGGATGGTCACTTCCATGTGCAAAAAGGAGAAAGAAAAGAACATGACTGAAACTGACCAGGACTAGCTTTGTGTTTGCATCTAATCTTTTGTGCTGCAAAATTTACTTTCGCTTTGCATTATTCAGCATCTATAAAATCCCGAGGAGCATGAACTCTTGTCTTCAGCCTTTGATGGATCATCTCCAACTTCTGCTATAGCCAAGATCTTGACATCCTCTCTTAATTCCGAGCATCCCTTTGCGATTTTGCAGCTTTCTGTTGTTCGACCTTCTCTTTTGACAACTCGTTGTGAGAAATCTTTAAAAAAATGACCTATTTGATTCTCGTTCCTCATTTAGTCACCACCATTTTTTGATATGATGTCACATTTGGGATCGGAAGAGTATTGTTTATTTTCATATGTTGAGAGAAATGAAATTGACCTTTCAGTAAAATAGATTTAAGATTTCCAACCTTATACATTAAACTTGTACTGGGGCTGTACTCTTGAGAGCACAGGAGAGCTGTTTTAGATGATATGATAGAACATCCTTTTCTGCATGTATGGATTGTCTAATTACTTCATGGTCAAACAAGTCAACAATTATGTAAGAACAGTGCTGCATTTGGAGAACATTTGTGTTCATCATGCATCCCTTTGTGAACTTATAGCACATGCTGTTGTTTTCATGTGTTGTTCTTTATAAATGTAAAGTACAGCAACATGTGCCACTACTGTGAAACAAGGTTGTAGATCTCATGAAACAAGTGGATATGAACATCAACTTTTCTGCAGGTATACCTTGAATTCTTGTCTACCAATTACTTCATCATCCTAAGTAACATCCTTAATGTCATTAGAAATGTGTTCTTTGATCATTTTGCTGGTTTCAAGTCATGGTTGACCAATTTGGACCCCTGAATTATTAAAAAAAGTGTACAGATGTGCATCAAACTTCTCTTATGGGGAACAAAAGTTATTTTACAACTCGACTCTTTTTACTTTTTAGTTTTGAAGGTGGATTCAACACTTGAAATTAATTCTAAGTCTAAGTGCAATTTCTCTTGTTCTATAACAAAAGCCAAACCATTTTCAATTGACAAAGTTGAAGATCTCTCTTTCATTTTTTAACTCAAGATCAAGACGGCAAAAGTTTTCGGTGTCAAAGTTCACTGCTCCTCTCATAAAACGTGATGTTATAGGATTCCGATCGACAAAATATCTGAGAAAACTTGATGATTTAGCTTTTTCAACAATCCTTCCGGCCGATATCAGTTTGAGATTTGCTAGACTCTGCTCCGCCCGTAGCTTCTATACACCTTCAAGTGGGCTGGATCGCATTTGGTACGAGTTGTTCGCTAAAGTCAGCTAGGAGCCATTTCATTCTCGATATTTGCTTCCTAGAGTTTCCCAGCGTGTCCGTGGAGCTCGTCTCCATGGCTCTGTGGAGTCAGCAAGTATATTCGCCGTTTGCATGCCATCACCGTAACTCTCTTTCGTGGCTGCTAGTAGCACCATCGAACCCCTTGGCACGCGGAGGTCACGCCGGTGTCCTTGATTTATCACATGATTTCCTCATCCTTCTTGCATCAGCATAGTTCAAAAATCCAGGTTTCTCTTTTTGATATTTTTGTAACTCCTATGAGATCAAATTGAGTTCTTCCAATTTTGAACTTTGGGTTTATTTAATAAAAATATATCTTGAGCATATCATGTAGAAAATTTGATGAATTAAATAGTTTGTTTTTGATTGCATAAACTTGCTATCTTGAGTTTCTCGTGATCCAAAAATTGTGAAATTTTGTGGGTAAGCAATATGGGTGGCTGCTCATCATGTGTAGTTTTTGAGTTATAGATTTTCCTTTTATCATTGGATGATTCTTGTGAAATTTTAGAAATAATCTATGAATCAATGGCCAGAAACTTGGTAGTAGTATCCTAGTATAAGGATGTAGGAAAAATATGAAATCTGTTGTTTGACACTTTTCATTAGGGTTTCAAATTATATTCATTTAATCCATTATGCCTTGTCATTTTGTGTATTTTTTATACTTGCTCAAATGGTGTGACCATTTTATGGTAGTCTACTTAGAATATGTAGTGTCTGGTGGTTTTGTAGAATTAATGGGCGGTCTTTCATATAGGTTTACTATTTCCCTAATTAATTAAATAAATTAAGAAAGGTATTAAAAGAAATGTTTTGGTAATGGACATCCTACTTTCGATGGATATGTGTGATAAGATAGTAAAGTTGGTTTTGTCTGTATATGTTACATCATAAGTTGCTAATTATTTGTTGGCATTATGTCCCTCTCGATTCTGTTTAGAAAGTTCCCCATGAGATTTTGGTTTTCCTTGAATATAATGAATACAAGAGTTGTAGATAATTTATGTATCTACTCTGTCAAAATTTGAGGGCATTTGGCCCAGTTGCTTAAAGTTAGGTTCTGTTTTGCTTATTCTACCTTTGTAGGATGGTTCACTTGATTTAGGAATTGCAAAAGTGTCGAATCATGCTTTGAGGTCTAAAATGAATTATAGACAATTTCATAAGCTTGAAACTTGTTTCATATCATTTGGGATCTCCGCTTTGTGCTAGTTTAATGTACATCTTCATTTGTTTGAAATACTGCTTGATTGAATGTGTTGCAATCGTTGATTGTTTGTTAGCCTAACTTGAGAATATGCTTAGGTGCAGGTCATTAATCTAAGATGAGCAATTATACATTAGGTTGTATAGACTTGGTAAGTAAAGTGTATTGAATAAAGCTTAACTTGGAATATGCTTGAGCATGTGCATTCCCTAGCATCCCCGACATTGATGTGCATCCATGATACTTATCTTCTGCTTCATGCAATAGTGTGCAAGTGACGTTGCCGGAGTTCGAGGAGCCAACCAGATCTGCGAAGTCGAAGAAGCTCTCTTATCACCACCTTCCTCTTTTCAAAAGGCAAGCCCGAGCATTATAAGTCTCCCATGTCTTCAAATATACAAATATATTGATGTTTGTTGATGATGCATTAAGTATAGGAATTGGTTGGAACTTTCTGTTGTATCCTTGTTCGAATATATTATTTAAGTTCGAGAAGTTAAATGCTTAGCCATGC